AGACATGCCCATATAACAAGCATTTCTTTCTTTTCCAGAAGTAGTAGTAATGAACTTTATTTTATGTGGTGTTATGAAAAGTATCATAGCAAATGCAGTAGGTGTAAAAAAAGAAAACAGTTATATGGATAGAAAATGACGAAATAAGAAACACAAGCTGTAAGAAGTGCAGCAGAAGATAGATGGTCGTTAAGAAACTGGGAGGAGACTGACTCTAATTTAAACACAGTCTCGATTTAAGTAGGAGTCTCTGATATCCTTAGGGATAGACTTCCAGAGCTTTGGGGTGCAGCAAGAGAAGGCCCTGTCACCCACAGAGTGAATACATACAGTATAGAAGCCCACAAGGAGGCAAATGAAGGTGGCCAGGTGGGGAAAAGACACATAATAAATTAAACAGGCTGGCTGGCTGGAGAGGAAGAGCTGAAGACCGAGGAAGAGCTGCCAAACCATGGAGAGCACGAGGAGTTTGAAGTCGATTTGAAACCTTATAGGAAGCAAGTGAAGGACTCCAAGACCAGTGAAATCTGACCTCTTGCATGCAACCTGGACAGGTTTCAGGCTGCTGAAATCTGAACGTACTGGAGTTTGTTCAGTGTGGATTTAGAGTGAGGATGGGTTTGCAGTAATCAGTTCTAGAAAGAGAAAATTGAGTTGATCAGGCATTGGTACTGGGGGGAAACGAATTTCAGTTCTAATTTGTCCGTTCAAGAGCAGAAGACGAAATGTAGAAAAGAGCACACCCAACGTCAAACTGAAATCAAGCGGCCTGTGTTTAAGAGAGGCCACCTCTCTTAAACCTGGGGTCTCCCTGGGCGGCCCCCAGAGTACCAGGCTAGATAAAAGCGATGGGAGCTGACGAGGTGTACCTGACTGCTGGCAGACAGGCTGCTGTTATTCTCAGGGCAGGCTGTGTAATTGCTCACTGTCGGACCAGTTTGCTGTGTAAAAGCCTGGCAGGCGCCTGTGCCAACCATGCTCCACTTAATAGAGCCTGTCATTAAACCCCCTAAAGTTAATTTCTACTCCTTTAATAAAAACAAGCTTGTTAAATGGAAATAACAGGGCAGTGCAGTTTACATCTCCTGTTGGCGGCTGGTGGTCTGTTGATCTGTCTGGCTGGCAGAGTGTCAGTGATCTGGAGAGGAAGAGCTGAAGACTGAAGATGAGCTTCACACTCACACTAGGCTAGGCTAGGCACACACACACTCACACACACTTATATTCACTTACACTCACACTCACACACTTACACAACTTAACACTCACACACTCACTCTCACACTCACACTCGCTCCCACACACTATTGTATTGCTCTGTTTGTGGGCTCTTCCCATTGACTCTCACTCTGTTTTGATTCATTACTCCAGTTTCCACCCAGGGGTGAAAACAGACCTGACACATATATTTTTGTCTCATTTAATTATAAGGAGAGACGCCATTGTGTTTCTAATAACACACTTTCCATTGTGGAAACTCACAGAGACACACACTCACTCACATTCACCCACACACAGAGACATACACACTCACACACACAGAAGAGGACTTTGCTTGTGCTGCGCAGTAAGACAGCCTTGATTGTGAAGAAGTCCTGCCCAGGCTACAGATCTGTCAGCTCTAACGAGCGGCTGAAGGGAACTGGGCCAGTAAGGACCCTCCTGGGCTCTGTCACACTCAAGGGTAGTGTGCAGGGATCCGGGTTCTCCAGGGGCCACAGCAGGGCTTTCAGCTGGGAGAGTGGGCTGTCTGCTCCAGCACTGTG